CGGGCGCAGGAGGCGATCGGCGAGGAGGAGGACCTCCCGGCCGCTCCCACTATGGGGCGACCTGGGGTGTTGGAGCTCTTCGCTGGGAGCTCTCGCTTGCTGGAGGCGATCAGGGAGCTGACCGACTCGTGGGGCGAGGCCTGGGACATCCAGCGGGGCGTGGAGTTCGACGTACTGGTCACCGAGAACTTGGAGCTGCTGTTACGGAGATTGAGGACTGGCTGGTTCTGGTGGGTGCATGTTGCCCCCCCGTGCGCGACGTTTTCGAGAGCAAGGCAGCCGCCGCTGAGGTCGAGCGATCACCCATGGGGGCTGCCGGACTGCACGGAGACGGACCAGGCCAAGATCGACGAAGGGAACGCTTTGGCTTTGATAGCAGTAGAGGTGGTCAAGATCTGCCTACGCCTTGGCATTGGATTCACCCTCGAGAACCCCAGGACCAGCAAGATATGGGCGTTCGCGCCAATGACCGCGCTCTTGGATCTCGAGGGGGTTTTCCGTGTGGAGGTGGATTACTGCATGTATGGCGAAGAATGGAGGAAGCCAACTACGTTCATCACCAACGTGAAGAAGATGGCGACGCTACAGCGGGTGTGCTTGTGCCCCTCGAGCCGATGCAGTCGGACTGGCCGAGCTCACCGAGAACTACGAGGACGATCACCAGGTGGGCTACGGTGGACTCAGGTGGCCTGTGCTTACCCGCTGGAGTTGTGCAGGGCATACGCGTCCACTCTGCAGGAGCTCGAGCCGCACTGGGACTCGATACCAGCGGGGGCCCGGCTTCGCCTGCAGGGGGACCGCGGGCGCGTCGTGCGAGCGACTGGCCCAGCCCTGCCTCTGCTGGGCCATTGGCTGGAGAGGAAGTGGCACGTGCTGTTTCAGGGACGATGGTCTCACGCCGAGCACAACAATGTCTTGGAGTTGCGTACGGTGGTGGCGGTGCTCCGACACCTCAGTCGCACGTCCCAGAGCTGGAATCACCGCGTGCTTTTCTTCACCGACTCGTTGGTGAGCTTAGGCGCCCTGAAGAAGGGGCGCTCTTCTGCCAGGGACCTCTTGCACCTGGCGAGGATCGGCGGCATCATCCAGATGGTCTGCAGGATCCGCGGGTACTTCAGGTGGGTGCCGAGCGAGCTCAACCTGGCAGACGGCCCCTCGAGAGGTCAAGGCATAGGCGCGGCGGAGGACACAGTGGCGGGCCACGTGGGCCGTGGGGTGCCGAAGGAGCTACTTCAGCGGCTGCAAGATCGGGCCCGACGAGGACCGCCTGGAGCTTCGCATTTGTGATGGCAATGAGTGGGCTGAGGCTGTGCGAGGCGATGCCGCGGCGTGGGGTGGACGGCCCCGCCACGACCTCGGCGAAGCCCCCCCCTCTGGCTAAGAGGGGCGCTCGGGCCTGGGAGCAGGCACCGAGTGACAAGCTGCATCGCAATGTGAGGCTCGTGGTGCACGCCGTGGACGACGCCACGAATCAGATCTACGAGAAGGAGGTGAGGACCTTTCTTCTGGACGTGAAGCGGCACGGGCTCCCCTTCTCCACTTACGAGGGAAGGGATGCGGCGCTCGGCGGGTACATATCGGACATGTGCTACGTGATGCAGTTACCCTTCGGCAGGGCGTCTGCGTTGTTCAATGGTTTCATGCACATCTTCGAGGATCACCGCAATCGGCTCCCCGTCGCGGCCAGGGCGCCGAAGTCCTGGTCTAGGATGGGCTTCCAGAAGGAGGGGGCGCCGGTGCCGTTCGAAGCCGTGGGGCGCGTGCTCTACGACCTCTTTGAGCACGGCCAGCTGTACGAGGGGGCCGCGGTGCTGCTGCAGCTTGACGGCTGGCTGAGGGAGCAGGACTGGGGCCTCCTCAGGAAGACGGACGTGGCGGTGGGGCCCGACGGGGAGGTCGGGCTCACCTTGGGCCGCAGAGAGCGGGGCGAGAAGGTGAAGACGGGAGCGAACCAGGGCGTCGTGGTCTCGTGGCAGGCGACGAAGGCCATCCTGCGGGCGATCGGCAAGGGCGCGGCGCCACGGGACCTCCTCTTCCCGATCTCACAGGACAAGTACAGGAAGGCGTGGAGGCTGGCCTTCGACAGGGCGGGCCTGGCGGACTTCGGGCCCCCGCACTCGCTGAGACACGCGGGCGCGGCGGCCTACATCGCCGCGGGCGGCTCGCTGGAGGCGGCGCGCCGGAAGGGCCGCTGGCAGACCACGTCGGCCCTTCAGCGCTACACGAAGGTGCACGTGCTGATCGAGCAGCGGAGCCGGCTCACCCCCGAGCAGCTTGAGCGGGGGCGGGCCTTCTGGCGCAGGCCGGCCCAGCAGATCGCGGAGGCCATCTACCGCTCCGACGCCGTGCTGGCCCCGCTGGCGCGGGACATGGTGCACGAGCTCGAGGCAGCCAAGAACGACGAGGTCGTGCTGCCGCAGCTGGAGAGCATGGCGGACGGGGGCGCGGAGCCCACCAGCCGCCCGTCTACTGCTGGCCGTAGCAGGGCCAGACGGCAATGAGCAGGCTGCCGCAGCCCCCACCCTCATTTTAGGCCCCGCCTTTCGCGGGTGCTATATCTTTTGATATGAATGCAGGAGCCTCGAGAGCTGGGCGCGTGCACCCTGTCCTCCACTTGTCTTCCTTGAACACTTGATAGATATGGGGAAAATATACAGCAGGTTTTTTTGGTGGGTGAGAGCGACACAAATTATCTCCCTTTCCCCCCCTCCCGAATGTGCGCCGCGCTCGTGTCTAGCAGTGGCTGGAAGCATGAAGGCACAAGTGCCAATCTAGCGATGGCGGGACTGGGGGTTTCGCCGCGAGGCTTGTTGGCCCGACCGTGGGCCGAGGCACGGTCAGGAACCTCTCGGCCTTTTAAGTTTCGGGCCTCACACGGGGCCCCGCCGCTGCGAACAGATACTTTCGGAGGGTGCCCCCTCCTCTCGAGCCGCTCGCTGTCCTGTGGGTGTGTCTCCTCCCGCTGCTGCGTCGGATATTCTGTGGGGCCTCTTTTCATTAGGGTTGTCGCTCTACCCCCGCCTGCCCCCAGCACTCTAAAATCAAGATTTAATGGTATAGGCACGCTCCGAGTTAACATATATTCAAGCCTGGCTCTCGAGTGTGGGTGCTGTGTAAATACGCGTTTTTAAACACACTTTTACACACCCCCTGTAAACGTTCAGATAGCCGCCTCAACTGCAATTTAGGAGGAGGGCTAGCGCTTCCTCTCTCGTGCTTGACCCTCCTCTCCTGGCGCAAAGCTTCGGCTCCCAACCCTGCCCACCCTTGGGCTTGGATGAGCTCAGGGGGTTTCGCCGCGAGGCTTGTTGGCCCGACCGTGGGCCGAGGCACGGTCAGGAACCTCTCGGCCTTTTAAGTTTCGGGCCTCACACGGGGCCCCGCCGCTGCGAACAGATACTTTCGGAGGGTGCCCCCTCCTCTCGAGCCGCTCGCTGTCCTGTGGGTGTGTCTCCTCCCGCTGCTGCGTCGGATATTCTGTGGGGCATCTTTTCATTAGGGTTGTCGCTCTACCCCCGCCTGCCCCCAGCACTCTTAAATCAAGATTTAATGGTATAGGCACGCTCCGAGTTAACATATATTCAAGCCTGGCTCTCGAGTGTGGGTGCTGTGTAAACGCGATGGTCTTCGTCACTGGGTGCTTCGTGGCGGGCTTCTTCGACGGGGCGAAGCCGACGGAGGCCTGCGGCGTGGAAGAAGAGGAAGCCGATGGCGTGACGGGCTGGGTGAAGGCCACGACGCTGCCGTGCTGAGACGCCCACGTCTTCAAGGCGTTGTGGACTTTGGCGGGCACGTTCGGCGCGATGGTGATCGCGACGTTCAGCAACTCAGTGATGGTGCGCGGCTCGGAGGTGTGCTTAGTGCCTGTGCGCGTGAAGGAAACTCGGTTAGAAAGTACCTTCGCCTGTGCACTCCATGCGGTCTGGTTCGGTGCGGCGGGAACGGTCATGTCCGCGGCCAGGAACGCGTTGGTCAGGACGTGCTCCGTGATCTGGCCGATGTAGTTGCAAGCCTTGGTCGCGGCCGCGTCGGACTGCCCGTAGGCGGCGGCCACCCACGCCCAACTGCGACCCTGCGTCGGGTTGGCGGCGGCAGTCGGGGGCATGAAGCTCGCATTGGTCTTGCACACGCCACTCGGGGTGCTGGGGGGGCCAACCCGCTCCATCGCGCGTGCCGACAAAGTACTGAGGCCGCGGCGGTTGGCCGGCTGCGTGGCCTTTAGGCTGGCGCCGTCCGCGAAGGTCACGCGCGAGCCTGCGTTCTTCTTCCCTGGGATGTCGATCATCTCCACGTTCACCGCGATGGTGTACAGCGATGCTTGCTTCCGCTGACCTTGCACTGGCGCGCTGCTCGGCGCCGTGGCGGTGTCCAGGGGCGCGTTCTTGATGCTCGCCTTGGGGGGCATCGCAGGCGGCGGTCTGGCAGGAGGGGTCGATGTACGGGGCTGCCGAAGCGCGCCTGCCGTGCCCGATGATTTGAGCCTCCGACGGCGGCGGGCCGAAGCACGTGCACGATGACATGCGCGCGCGTGCTGGAGGGCCGAAGCGTGAACAGATCGGGGCCCAGAGGTTCCCACAGCTTGCGTGGGCAGCAGTGCGCAACTTCCGCGGGCAATCCGAAGCGAGGTCCGAGCGGGGCCCGAGAGCCTGCGCCGACGCCCGGCACGACATCAGGAGCGGGGGGGCTCTGGGAGGGCCCAGCGGGTAACGCTGTACACAATCGGCGCGCAAAGGCAAGGCCAGGCTCGGGGTGGGAGGGGAGGGGCGACGCGGAGGACGAAGGCAGCTGAATGCAGAGAGCGATGTGTTTTTGCCTGGGGGCCGTCAAGGGCGGCGGCAGTACGGCTCGGCCGCGGCGGGTCGCTTGCGGACCGCAGCGCGAGGAGCGGCCGCACTGTCTAACAACAGCTCGGTCCAGACAATGTTTTTCGTGAGGGCGTGTCCAGCAGCCGTGCGTCGCTCCGACGCTGCAAGAATCCTAAGGTCGGAACGGCGTTGGGCCCGGCTGAGCGCCACGTACAGGTGCCCGTGCGTAAAGGGGCTGCGTCGCAGGTCGATGACGCATCTGGCCAGGGTGCTGCCCTGGGCGCCGTTGAGGGTGGAGGCGTACGCCGGGCGCAATGGAAATTGTCGGCGCACGATGGTTGTCGCACCTTTGGCCAAGCTCCAGCGGAAGCAGATCCGCGGTAAAGGGGAGCGTCTGCCGTCCAACGTTTCGACATCCACGTGGTTGTCGTGAACGGCGACGAGGACCACCTGGGTATGGTTCATCAGACGATCCTGAGAGCTAAAGTTCCTCATACTTTCGTAGAACTGCGCCCACGATGAGTCGAATGCGGTGGGGAGGCACACCGTGTTCAGTTTGGACGTTCAGAAATTCGGGCGTCACGCGAGGTTCGATGAACTGATCGTCCCGGTCGATCTCTATGCAGTCGGCGCTGAACCGATGGTATTCGTCGCGACGGTAGGTGTGTGCGAGGATGTTCAGGACCATGTCGTTGAACGCGTCGACGGTATCGTTGGTGACGGCCAAGATCTTGGACTTTGCGCAAGCATTTGCGTCGTTCGGGTGTGGGAAGCAGAAATCAATGGCCTCGCGGGGTTCCAATATGGTTGGGCAGAGGTGCAGTTCCAAGTAACCGGGAGTACCATCCACGGAGTGCTTCGCCTCGGCGGTTCCATTGCCGACAGTCTCGATCCAGCGAGCGCACGTGAGATCAGCATGTTGGCGGTGTTTGGTAGTGAGCCGGTGGCATTCGAAATGGTCCCACGTTGATGACGAACGCACGCTCATTGCAACAATGTCGCGTCTGGACGCGTGCTTGAGGACAGGAGGGATCTGGCGGAAGTCCCCGTAGCACACAATGACCTTGGGGGAGTAAGTGTCTGGGGCTGCCTTCTGGAGGGTGTCCAGAAAACGCACAACGGCATCCGGCGCTGTCCTTTTCGCTCCAGGCCACTCGTCCCACTGTATGACTGAAGCGCGAGCTAGGCGCGCGGCCTCAGCAGTTTGCAAGCCCAGATTGCACGTCAATGGATCCTCGTCTCCCAGAGGTATCTTGAACGTGGAGTGGGCCGTGGCGCCATGAGGTAAGAGAAGGGCGGCCTGGCCTGTCGTGGCCACGTTGACGCAGGACTTGCCGAGAGATTCTGTGTAGTAATGCACGTATTGGGCCACCGTGGACTTGCCCGTGCCGGCGGCGCCGTGGACGAAGACGAACTTGGAGGCATTGGCGGTGATGTGTCTAGTGATTGTCGTGGTGGCCGCGCGCTGCTCTGAGTCGCTGCGCGCGCGAGCCTGGAGTGCGTGGAAAATTGGGGTGGTCGCCGTGGCTGTTCTAGGAGGAGTGCTGTCGGTGGACTGCCTGCTCGTTGATGCTATGGGCACGGGCACGTCCAAGAAGGCCAACGCGTCGGCACGGTCCTGCGCAGCCGCAGCCAGGCGTAAGCATCGCTTCAATTCCGTCGCAGCAGTAGACGGCGTCATCCCTCGGTCGAGAAAGTCTTTCACCAGGTGCTTCTCGAATGCGTTGTACAACGTCGTCGGCTTAGCATCGAGGTCGAGGAGCACAACAAAAGCGAAACGTAGCTGGTGGGCCGTGTACCGTAATTCCACGAGTTCTTGGAGGACCCGGGCGGCCTCGTCGTCCTTGGTAAACATGCCCGTCGCCAGCATGGCCTCCTCGCAAGTAGGATACTGCGAGCCATTGTGGGAGCGGCAGTCTTTGAAGCTCCTGGAGGGGATTGGCAGAACAGGGAGATGAGGGAAAGGGGCGGCGGTTGGAGAGGCCGGGGGGGGGGGGGCGGACTGCAGGCGGGGAGAGGTCGGGCGCCAGAGGTCGGGGTGCGTCGTGGCCTTGGAGGTTCCCACAGCTTGCGTGGAGAGAGCAGGGGATCATCATCATCATCATCATCATCGTCATCAGCAGCATCATCTTCGTCGTCGTCGTTATCATCATCACCAGCCTCACCAACATCGTCAGCATCCTCGTCCTCCTCAGCATCATCATGTTCATCATGGTCAGCATCATCATGACCATCGTGATCATCACCATCATCATCATAGCCATAATCATCTTATCATCATCATCATCATCATCGTCATCATCATCATTATACTCGTCAACATCGTCGTTATCAGGTTGTTCATCCCTCGTTCTTACGGTCTCCGGTGTTCCCTCGAACGAATGCCGCCGAGCTTGCTGGAATGGCACGGTGGCGGGACTGTCGCAGGCAGGTGGATATGACAGCTTACGTGGGGGGCGCGATGGGGGTGGAATCGGGCGGGGCGCATCTGTTGGGGCAGCGGGTGGGTTCCCGCAGCTTGCGTGCAGTGGTGGAGGAGGTAATTGAACTGGGGGCTGGCGGGCCAAGGGAGGTTCCCACAGCTTGCGTGGACAGGCCGGGGGGATCATCATCATCATCATCAGCATCATCAGCATCATCATGATCAGGATGATCATCATCACCATCATCACCATTATCATCGGGCGACGGGGATAGGCGGGGCGGGGGGCATCCGTTCGGGGAACGGGTGGGTTCCCACAGCTTCCGTGAATTGGTGGGTGCAGTGGTCTGGGTGATGGTTTGGGAACGGGAGTGCGTCGTGGGCTGGGAGGTTCCCGTGGTCGCGGGTCGGGCGACGCAGGGTTCGGGCCGGCGGGGTGGATCACTTCGTCACAAGGGTGGGTTCCCACAGCTTGCGTGGACTGGCTAGCGGGGCGAGAGGGGCGAGGGTCCGGGGACTGAGGTGCATTGTGGCCCGCGGGGGTCCCGTGACATGCTTGAAGTGGCCGAGGGTTTCAAGGCGCTTGTGTTCCGAAAGGGAAATGGTGCGAGTGGTCTGAGCAGGGACATGGTCGGCGGCAGTGGCCCTGGGGGAACGGGGAGGCTAGAGAGAAGCAGGGGCATGGGTTGAGCGAGTCGGTCACGTGACCGAGAACTCGCCAAAGTCGTATGGAGGCGTGGAAGATCGTCAGGTGGTGTGGGGGGGTCGTTTCGGGCAGAAGAGCAGGAGGGTGGTTTAAGTCCCGGTCCTCTTAGGAAAGTGCAGGAGCATCTGCCGGAGGTAGAAGACGTCCTTCTGCCGGGGGCACTTCATCTCCAGGCGGCACACGGGCGGTTCCCTTCGCATGCGGACGTACACGTAGTTTTGGCGTCCGGGCGGCGCCATGTCCACAGTTGGTCGAACGGTGGTGTCTGCAGGTATTCGGTGCCATCTTGCAGACAGGGTAGGCCACTCGCTTCTTGGCGGTTCGACGAGGTGGTGTCCGAACACATCGGGGAAGAAACCGCGCAACGCCACGGGGCAAGTCGTGCTGACAATGAAACGTTCGAAGTACTCTGTGTATTTGCAGCCGAGGAATGGCTCTCGGTTCGGGCGGTAGAAATAGCGCTCCAACTGGGACGTAGCGTGGTCCAAAGCATCGGCTTCGAATCCCTCGTCAAAGTCGACCCAGTCCTCGTCGGGAAGGTGCACCGGCAGACAAAGTACCGTAGGCACGCGCTCGTACGTGGTGTAGCCGAAGACTCGCCATGCGCATTCCGTGGCGACCAGGCACCTGCCGCGTAGCCAGTCGGCAATTTCGTCGGTCGGCTGGTCTTCCGAGCCGATGGTGTACATGGTGTGGTCGGGTCCCTTGAAGAGGTACTTGAATAGGTATTCGAACAGATTGACAGATCCGGCGAACTTAACGTTCGCGTGGCCGTCCCACTTCAACAAAATGCTGGGGGAGTACTCGACGACCAGTCGATTGCAGCAGACATGTCGTCGTCCGTAGGCAGGCCCGGCAGATTGGCAATTTGGGCAAGTGTTAGAGCACGGACGTCGGCGATGGTGCGGGTACCCTCTGGCGTCGATCTCGGTGGTGTCTGCGAACGGCCACGGGCATCCTTTGATGCGCTCCTGGGCAGGGTCGTTGGGATGGCAGGAATGATTGCACCGCTGAATCATGTGATGCAGGACGCGCTCGCGGAGTGGGCCATGTTCAGGAGGGACTTCGCACGATATGAGAGTATCGATCTCCTCGGGCGCGCAGGGGAGGTTGTCCACCGCGAGCGCAATGTGTGCATGAGGGGGGCCCCGCATCTGATACTCAATCACGCGGATGATGTACCTTCTGCGCCCAGAGAAGTCGGTCTTCAGAAAGGAAACCATCTCCAGGAGTCGCGCGTGGAACACGCGGACGACGACGTCTGGTCTGTCAGCAGCGGTTTGTCCAGGCAAGAGGGCTGATTGAATTTCTGGCCAGTATGGGTTGCATGTCAGAGTGATAAAGAAAGTGGGCGGGCCTTTACGACGCGCCAATTCCAAGCAGTCGACTCGAAGACGTCTGAGGTGGCGCGGGGACCCCGGCACGCTCGAGGGCAAGAGCACGCGGGCCACAGCAGGAGCTGGGTCGGCGGTGTTCGCAATCATCTCGCAGACCTGACGTCTAGTGCCACGCAGTTTGGGCTGGTCACGGCGGAGGGGCTCAGTCTTTCGCCCTCCATGCGACAGTACATATTAACGAGCCATTCGTTGAGCAATCGTCCGCAAGCGTGCATGTGAGACAACCGTAGTATGCGTTGCCGGTGCCACCACATTTGGCTGATGTGCGCGCCGTTGACCATCGCATCCGGGCTCCACCCACGCCCGCCGGATGGGAACCACAGTGGGTAGGACAGTGGCTCGTAGAAAGGGTGTAGTGGATGGAGATACTTGGGGGCGGTGGAGGAGTTCAGTCGGAACGTGACCGTGCGAGGTTGAGCGTGGCTGTCCGTGCGCGCGTCGACGATGGCGGCGAGCTCGTTGATGTCCTCGCCCCACTTCAAGTGCAACGCTGCGTCGGGCCCAGGGCGACGTATAGTTCCGAGGCGTTTGATCTCATTCATGAACGGGTTGATGGGCAGTAGGAGGCGTTCCAGGCGACGGAGCAGCCCCACGTCTAACTGCAGGGTAGTGGCTTGTCGAGTGCGTTCTTGAGGGTCCACGACGAGATATCTCACAGCGGTGGTTTCGGCTGCCGTGAGCACTCGCCTGTACATCGTGCCGTGAATCCGGAGGTTGGAAGGACGCATGCAGTTGCCGAATCGAAGTTCCTTCGTGCTTCCTGCGCTGTGGATCTCGTGAACAGCCAATGCGAATAAGTTGTTGTAGCGGCGACTTGCTGCCGTGAACCCTGTCAGACGAGGAGAATTGGTCGTGGGATCGTGCAGAAGATGGCCCGCGGCGTCGCGAGCGGGCCAAGTGGAGCGGAATATCTCCAGAAGGGCGGGCGCCGGAGGTGAGAAGAAGTGCTCGAATGTGATCGCCCACTTGCCGTTGCTGCAGCAAAACGCTGGCGTTTCGGTTGGAAAGAGGGAGGCCGCACAATGCGGGCAACTTCGGTTCATGTCTCCGACAGAGAACGGCACGTCTTGTAAGGGCGGTCGACCCACTACGCTGCATTCACGACAGACGCTGTCATGCGTCCTGTCGCGGTCGCAAGCGAAGGCTTCCCTTGGCAAGGAAAGCCCACAAAGAACGCAAGTGACCTGTAGTCGGCGTCGGGACATGCCGGAAGTCTGCGGGGCAGCGGCGGTGCAAGTGATGCACGCGCGGGTGGCTCGGTGGCGTTGGCGGACTGCGAAGTGCAGCCGCGGGACGTCCTGGTCGCAGCGCGTGCAATGTAACGTATCTGCGCTGGGACGTCCGCGTGAGGCCGGCCTCTTGCGCACGGCGGGGGAGTCGCCCGTCATGATCCCAATCGGCGTATGCCGAGGCGGAGCAGCAGCGGAATCCTGGAGCCAAGGGCTACGGGACATCAATAGAGCCTGGCGCGGCCGTGGTGTGTACGTCGTCGCTGTTAGTGCGGGCCTTGGCGTTTGGAGGCCTCATGGGTGGCTTCTCGGCGATCTCCTGGGGGTCTCTTGGGGCCTTGGGGGCCTCTGGAGAGTGTGTTCGGGGTATCCTGGAGCGGGAGGGCCGAAATGTCGGCTCGGATCCTGTCGTGGGGCCTTTCTTGGAGCCGTCTTGAGGGTCCCTGGAGCCGTCTTACAAGCCTCTTGGGCCGTCTTGGGGCTGTCTTGGGGCCGTCTTGAAGGTGTCTTAAGCCGTCTGGGGGCAATCTTGGAGTCCCCATGTGGCCGTTTTGGAGAGGCGGGTGTGGCAAACGCGTAAATCCAAGAATCGTCGAAGACCATTGGAAATCAATGAATTTTGCCTGTTGGGGCTCTCTTGGGAAGGCTCTCGGAGGCCTCTTGGGGCGCTTGGAGGCCTCGTGGGCCTTCGTAGGAGCAACTGGGGCATCATAGAGCGGAATGTGGGCCGGTCGGACCAGCTTGGGGGTAATTTCGGGCATTGTCGGAGCTGTCGTGAGCCCGTTCAGAGCTCTTCCGGGGGGGCGAATTAGGTGACGCCCATCCGGGGGGGGGGGGTTCCCTTATATTTTGATAGGGAAAAGGAATATACATACATACATACATAGTGTATATCTGTATAATTATTTTTACAAAAAGAAAAAACGCGTAGCAGCTCCGCGGATATGCGGGATATTATACATATGTGGTCTTAGATTCGGTGGAACAAATTCTGGGGTAAATCAATTCTGCAGTCGATCCCTCATTCGAAATCTGGTCCTCACGTACGTCGGCACACAACTCCACGCATGTTCGGCCCCGCGCTGTCTGAAATGGCGGCGGAGGGGGCGGGAAAAT